ATGATGCCAATGCAGCTGACCCTAATTTTCTGAGGATGAATGATGAATGTTGAATAATTATTGAACTTTGAACGTTGATTAAACTATTGTCTATTGAAGATTCTTTCGAGTCTTCAAGTATTACTTTCATTTTTGTTTTCTTTCTCTTGGTGGTGTATTACTGTAATGTGATTTGTAGATAATGGATTTGTAGTTCCACTAGTTTGGTACTATTTGGTGACTTTGGTTTTGTAATTTGGTTGGTTGGTTGATAAATTTTAAGTTTTAATTGGATATGGATTATGGACCGACTTATGGTTATGCTTATGGAGTGTATGCTAATGTGTAGTATACTTTGAATTCTGATGTGCCCTAAATACCTAGTTCATATATTTTATACAATATGTAACTGTAGATACCTTTTTTGATTCAACTGGGCTGCTCAGGTTCTGAGCGCCCCCTGCTTAGGTGCTGGGCGGCTTGGATTCCCCAAGCTGCCTAGGAGCCGCCTAACGCTTTTTGAAACAGTGCTCAAGATTTAATTTGGTGGGTGTTAGAAACAAAAGGAATCTCTAAGTACTATATTGACTTGATAAGAGATATGTACGAGATGACACTAACTTGTGTGCGGATAACTAATAGAGAGATGAGCGAGTTTTTAGTGATAATAGGTCTACATCAGGGGTCAGCGTTGAGCCTGTACCTCTTTTTCTTAGTTATGGATGACTTAAGTAGGTACCTACAAGATGAGGTAGTATGGTGTATGTTGTTCACAAACGACATAGTTTTGTTCGATGAGACTAGAAGTAGCGTTAACACAAAGTTAAAACTTTGAAGGGTTCTAGAATTTAAAGGTTTTAAAATTAGTTGGACTGAGACCGAGTATATGTAATGCAGTTTAGTAATAATAAGAGTAGAGACGAGGAAGTAGTTAGGATTGACAACCAAGAAGAGCGCAATTTCGATACGTTCAGCCTATAATCTAGGAAAATGGAGAGATTGAGGAAGACATCGCACATAGAATTAGAGCTGGGTGTGTGAAGTGGAGATGTGCAACAAGAGTTATATGTGATAGCCGCATGTCAATGAAGTTGAAGGGAAAGTTCTATAGGACTGTTGTGAGACCGGCTTTGTTCTATATGGCAAAATGTTGTGCGGTCAACATGGAACATACCTTAGGAAGAGTGTAGTTAAGATGATGATGTTGAGATGAATGAGTAGCAAGACAAGATGGGATGGAATTCAAAATGAATACATTTAGGAGAACTTAGGTGCGGCTCAAATAGGTGATAAGATGAGAAAGTAGGCTTTAGTTGGCCTAGGCATGTTCAACACAAACTCAATACAACACGTAGTAGCAGGTGCAAGTTGGTTCAAGTGGAAGGCTCAAAAAGGATAAGGAGTAGGCCCAAAAGGACAGGGTTGGAAGTAGTGAGAAAAGATATGCGGACTTATGGCCTCACTGAGGGTATGACCCTTGATAGAGTAGAATGGCGGACCAGGATTTATGTAGCTGACCCCAAATAGTTGGGAAGGCTCAATGATGATGATGATGATACATATACGTTTTCACAGCACACGCAGGCACATACAGAGATAGGCCCGAACTGGTGCTAGAGGTGGCGTGTGGCTAGAGACCTAATCACAAGGAGGATGGTTTTGTAACTTGGTGGAGTAAGTTTGGAGGCTGCACCCATGAGGGTGGATAGTGGAGGCAGCTGGCCCCAAACTAAAAGGAGCATTCGAGGAAGAGGAGATGAGGAGAGTTTTGATGGTGGGCTTGGCATGTTTGCACCTGGACTACATTGGCAGGTCTGCCATGAGGAGCATGTTGCTGATGCTGAATCGGAAGGCACTGCTGCCACCATTGCCGACCGCCATGCCGACAATGGGCTTCACCGATGAGTTGGTCATGAATTTACAAGACAATGTTTCAGATTATGATTTTAATGACACGATTGAGCTTTTTAAGTGAGTCATTTTCAGTTTCGCCTTCCTCTTTTATTCCTCATCCTCCCCTTCCGACATAAGCAACATCCTTTAATTCTCATAGTACTATGATTTAGTGTGTTCGAGATTCAATGGGGAAAGATGAGAGGATGGACATGTGCAGGTTTAATTCCTTCTTTCCTTAATGCAAAGAGCTTCCCATTGTTTTCGGGGCTTTTGGTGATGCTAAGTTAACTAACCCCTTGGATGTTTGTCGAATTATTATTGAGGTGTACGCACCCTGTTTTTAATTTTGGCTAAGGGAATTCCCAAGAACCCGTAAACCTAAACTCCATAGGAAAATAACGTAATTCAGCCTAGAGAACCACTAGGGAGCGTACTAACCTAATAGTTCACTGTCCACCTTGAACTGTAGTCCAGAAACAATAGAAAATTACTATATATCCTAAAGAATTTCCCAACGAACCCTATATAGGCAGGATGGAACTCAGAATAGGCAGGTTTTAAGCCCAAAAGGTAGAAAAACCCGAGATAACTTGACTCAGGCCTCTAGAGCTGGCCGAACCTAGACAAAAACTGGAAAGTCCACAGCGCATCATGAAAATCAAGGAAAAACCTCCAGTGATGCGGTCTACATCCCCCATTGACAATCTGGAATCTTTCAGAATGTCGGTGCCTTGTTCTAAAATCTTTTTGGCCTATAATATACCTCATTCCAGTGATTTGGGGAGAAAAGCCTAGAACCCTTAAAATCTAGAACCTCTTTGAGACCTTAAATCTTTGGCCTTAAAAGCCTACAAACCCAAGGCCATTAAACCCTAATGCTTGCAATTTCCAGCAAGCATTGAAGGTACATAAACCTAGAAAATCAAAACCCAAATTCATGTTTGAGAAAACCTTAGGTCTTCTCTTCCTAGGCCCCTTCAAGTTCAAAGATAATTTCTTTGGTTTAGTATAAATCTCTAGAGTTGAGGAGAAGGAGGCCTTAACTGCTAAAAGTCTGATCCGGGCCCTAACGCGCATGTATCTTCTTTCTCTTTTCTTTGTTGCTTATTGGATTTTGTTCATAATTTTTCTTTAAAAATTATTTACAGCCTGTGTTCCTGTTTCTTTGAAGATTCCTGAGTTTCTTTTGGTTTTTACTAGATTGTAAGCCGACACCGCCGATGGATCATAGAAGGGAAGCCGTAAAGGGTTGAATCCTTGTGATCTGTAATTCAATGAGACCCACTTCTATCTAATCTTAAATTAACTCAATATAAAGCATAAATCAATGTGGATTTCATTAGAGATCTTCCTGGATTTTGTTGTAAATAGAAGGTATTCTTCCTATCAAAAACAAGTTCTTTAATGGTTTTTACTGTGATCACGAGCTCTTTATAATAACGATGTCATAGAGATCATCATCATCATCAGAGCCTTAGCCCAACTGTTTGGGGTTGGCTAGGATACGTGGAAAGTTATGGCAAAGTGTTATGCTGGCTGCCTACCTAATACAACCCTACTCCTTTACCCGGGCTTGGTACTGGCATGACTAACAGGTGGCTGGCCAAGGCGGAGTGAACAATTTCTTCGAGATGGAGAAGCAAAATTGTGATTCCATGTTCACTAGTACAATGAACAATGATTAGTCCACTTGAATACTTGATTGCTTACAACCATGTGATGATACTTCATTTCAAAAGCTCTCAAACCACGCTTGTGACACCTTGTCAATACCATTAGTTGCATTCTTGAGTCTTCCATAGTTTTGAGTTTTGGATTGCTAATGCTATACCGAAGTGGCTGCTCCATATAAACCTCTTCCTTGAGATCGCCATTATGGCATTTTTAACATCTAGCTATTGAAGAACCAAATTATAAGTTGTTGGTAAGGAGAGAACAATGTGAATTGTTCTCATTTTAACTACCTGGATGAATGATTTATTATAATCTAAGCTCTCATCTTGAGTATACCTCTTTGCCACGAAGCAAGCTTTCAAGCTCTCAATGCTACCATAGGACTTGTACTTAATTTTATCAACCAATATTCTTATTGAGGGGCTATGTGAGATATTATGGTGATTACATTACATGAAAGTAACATAAGAGTAGAAAATAATACATATATGCCCATGTATAATGATAAGGATCATTTTGCTAATAGTTACTACTAATAAGATGTTTCATTTGAAATTAGGGGAAAGAGTAGTTTACTCTTTATATGCTTCATGTAGATGAGTTATTATTGTGAGATATGATATAATGACATAACAACAACAAATAATACAACCATGGCATGTATGATACAAATATTAGTATCATGTCACTAATTAGATGTTTCATTTGAAAAATAGTGTGCGGACAATGTCATCAACATAAATGAGCTAGACAATAATCTTCTGGCAGACTAAAGAACTGACAAAAAAAGGGTTGTGAGTTAAGCCTCTCACGCAAAAGCTCCCTGAAAAAGAAAAAGAAAAGGAATTGATTAGACATACCCAAGAGCCCATTTGGGACCATAAAATATCTTTTAGGGCTACACAAGGAGCCAGTCATGTAAATATCATGGTGGAGGCCGGTCATAGATATCTTCTTGTCATATCCAGAAGCTCTTTTCACATTTAACTATTGTAAATCCCATCACCAAGCTGCTACAACATACAAAATGACACAAACTGTAGGATTCTTGGCAAGTGGTGCAAAGGTCTCATTGTAGTCCAGATTGTACTCCTGACTCTATTCTAGCTACAAGGTTAGCCATGAACCCTATATTGCTGATACTGCCATTTGCTAAGAATCTGACCTTGGAAATTTTGGACCCAAAAGAATTCTCCCAAGGTGGAAGAGTTACTGAGTCTCTAGTTTTAATAGTTCAAACTGTGCTTAATAGTATCTTTAGAGGGATTGTTTAGCAGTAATATATCCTCTCGTTGTGAACTATCTTTTTTAGTGATAATACGTTTTTCAGTCATTTGCTTCATATCATACGTTTTCATCTTGGTGCCTCTTCCCTTAAGAAAGTATACATCTTCTCTACTGTAGGTTGAATATCTCAATAAATATTATATATATGTATATTTTGGTGCTAGATGGTTGGAAGAATTTATAAAGATGAAGCTGAGCTAGAGACCTACCTACGCTCTGATGATTACGGTGTCCATGATCCAATAAGGTAATGTGTATTTTATTCTCCTGCTTCCGTTATTTTTTACTAGTATGATATTTGTCTACACGATGAAACAATTATAGGTTGCTTGCAGCTTGCATTGAATTTGATAAGTTCTTGTCAAAATGGAAACATTATGTGCTTCTTTGAATTGAAAATAAAATCTGCTGGATAATTATTTGCTTTTGCCTGCAAATAGCTCCCCAAGTGGCTAGAATTTCTTTGTCAAACCATGAGAGTTTGGCGAATGGGGTTGGGTTGCATCAATGGCTTGCCTAAACCAATTCCAATTTGGCTTCCCTGGTTTGCATATGGAAAGGCTTCCAATTTTATGGCACTGAGCTGTGCTGCTTAATTAAAGTATCTAATTGAGACAACGAGTCATGGACAAGTAAGAAATGTAATAGGTATTGAAGGTTGTTAAGGAACTTGAGCAAACATATTTGTTGTACCTATTTGATATAGCTAATAGGAAAGGAGGAATATATAAATCTTAAATACGCGAAAAGTTGTATGTTGTGCTAGAAAGTTAAGATTTCTAATCATATGATTTGAAGCTTTAGAGCCAACTTTTCCACTGTCATCAATTGAATAGAGGATCTGTGCGAAGAAGCATTTGTGGGAGCATGCTATTGTATACGTTACAATAAATAGTTTGTCATGTAGATTATATGGTTGTTGGTGAATTAATAGTCTAAATTGAGTTCATTGAAACAGTTTGTGAGTCGTTAATCTGGATAGCATTCAGTTTTCGTAGTCCATATCAAAAGCACCTTGATTGTTTCTTTAGGCAACTGACTTTCATGTTCCCTGATTCTTTGCATTAGTTGCTTTAAGTGCTAGGCATTTCTTAAGTTGCTGGTGGTGTGGGCTCACAGGTTGGGTGCGCTGTTGTTACGGTCATAATTGTTGGTGTTATTTCCTTTCAAGGCCTTGACTCCACTGTGCCATGATATTTCTTGGTCACAGTGGAGTGAACCAGAATGCTGGACTTATCAATATCTTTGCGAACTGGGATGCAGAGAGAGTCTAGTACCTTGAGTCATGAGGCATGTGTGGAGGGCCTTAAATTAAAACTGAGAGGTTTGAGGGTCTCTTCTAGTCAGGGTCGGTATGAGAACGCTTCATTTGTGACTTAGCCAGGGCATATGAGAGAGGATTGTGAACCTGATGTGATAAGAGAAACCTTCAAGAACCAGCCTTATGTGAGGAGATTAGGCTTAGAGAGTACATGAACCTAAATCCTTGATAATTGAGTCTACTCACACCATGTGCATAGGACAGTCGCAAGTGGGAAGCCGCTTTGATAAGTTGATCCACTTATTTAGAGCTATGCACATATGCAAGAGAGAGGAATCCCTTATCCACAAGTGTTCATGTCCTTGGAGTTATAACTGTAATCCACTGAACCTCAAAAAACTGGGCACCTATTGGGTTAGCTTTGATAGACTAAGCATATGCCCTGCTTGAGATTGTGGGTACATGGGTTTGTTAGGTTAACTTGAGAAAATGGCCTAGGGTTCCAAAGCTAGCCCAATGAAGTACCATACACCCAATTATACCTCCTAAAGGATCTTAATTTCCTTATATGTATTTTTGGATGCCAAATTGAGTATTTTTTATGGAGAATGATTAAAGATACTATATGGTGATTTTTGAGAATTTTTCGGAATTTTTATTGTGTAAAAATGGCTTTGTAAAATTGTTATCACATAATTCCACCTAAGGACATCCCACCCATGTGGAGCACAGCACACAATGTGTCACTACGCCACATTTTGGCCCCACATTGGTGCCACGTCACTCCTACGTGGGGTGTCGGCCCTTGTTTGAAAAGAGCACATATTGTGATTATGAGTGATAATGCCATTAGGGTTTTTGTGGCATATGTGTGTATTTGCACATGTGGGAGAATGAGAAATTAGTTTTCTAAACTTTATTTTGAAATGAGAAATTCCAACCAATGGATTTTGAGAATAGAAAATGATTTCTTTCTATGTTAATTTTCTATTGGCATTGTGTAAGGATTTATGACGTGTGAAATATGAGATCTTATGACAACCAAGTGTGTGAAGTAGTCCAAATGAGAGATGGTTTTACTTCATGGGATTTCAAATTTTGAAATGAGAAAGAGAGAGAGAGGAGTGGCATGCCTCATTCAGAGTATTCAAATTTGTGATAACGATCAAAGTTTTGGAAAATTAATGGTGATTATAAGCACCTCCAAAAATTAGGGTTTTGGATAACATAGGAAATGTGGAGAGTAGTGATGGGAAAGTTGTTGATAAAGGTGAATTTAATGACACCCATTCAAGTAAGTCTTTTTGCTTGTTTGATTTTATTTTCAGTCATTCTTTGCTTGTTTATTTTGAATTTTCAAGGACATTATTTGTACTAAAATTTAATGTTAAAGTTTGTTTAATCGTAGATTATGTCTTTTCTATGGGGCAGTAAAAGCAAAGATCCTAGGCTGTATTTAGGGTTTTATTTCTTGTATACAACAATGTTATGTGGCACTTTTTTTTTTTGGGTAAGTAAGTGGGGGAGAAGGCCCCATTCCCGTTTTTCCATTAATAAAAAAACAATTAATATACAACCTTATAGTAAGGCAATTGTGCCAGATTATGTAATACAAGAGAGGAAATAAAATTTGGTGGTCTATGGCGCCACACAGTAGCATCGGGGTCAGCAGTTTTCCTCTTAGCGAGGGTATTAGGAATCATGTTTGCCTCCCGGAAAACATGTGTAATAGACCATCGATGAGAAGAAAGTCTGGTGCAGCAATTATATGTAATCGTCTTTAGCGGCCATGGAGCCCTGCATCGATTCTGAATGACATTCACAAGCACGATCGAATCACTTTCTATCTGTATTGGAAAGCAATTCCTTTGATTAACTGATTGAATTCTTTCCTCAAGTGCCAAAATTCTGCATGGTTATTGGAAGCAAAACCAAAATGCTTTGCAAAAGTAGCAATAAACTGCCCTCTATGTTCCTGATGACTCCACCACTACCTGCTAAACCTAGATTTCTCAAAGAAGCACCATCAATATTGAGCTTGTAATTTTGAGACCACGCCACCGGAATAAGGGATTCTGACCTTTGCTGACGCCAAGTTATTTGAAGATTACCAATTATGGCCTTTTCTGATAAATGGAAAGACCACTTTTTAACTTCTGCTAGTGCTTGAATATGTAAGATAATCTGTTTCACAATAAGCTCTCTCCTGCTGGGTCTTGACTCAAAGAGGCTTCTGTTGCTCTCTTCCCATAGAAACCAAATAGCAGTAAAAAAGATGGAAGACCAAATATTACGAAGTACATGTGATTTAAACCTAAAACGTAACCACCACCTAAGTAAATCTGGGACAGAAGTACCAAGGATAAACCGTTTTCCACATTTCCAAGCTAATGATCTCCATACACCCTGTGCAAAAGCACATTGGAATAATTGATGGACAAGGCTGTCATCATGGTTGCTACAAAAGGGACATAAAGAGTCTAGTTGCATACCCCGTTGTTGCAATAAAAATGAGGTGGGCAATCGATTATGCAAGGACAACCATGAGAACCATTTCGCCCTTGAGTGGCATTTAGAGGACCAAAGTGCACGAAAAATAGGTTGTGATGAACCTTGATACCTAATAAAATCCCATGCCCCTTTAATAGAAAATAGGCCAGACCAGTGAATCCTTTCTAGGCTGTAGAGGAAGAGTATAATTCTCAACCTCCCTCCATATATTTCTCAAAAAATCAGATGTGGGATGTGGCAGAACCCAAGACTGAGGTGAACCTCTGATAAAGTCTGAAACCCTCCTCCTTGCAGTAGCCCCCAGATCCTCCTGAATGTCATTATCATGCAAATCTTAAGGTGACTGACCTGCTAACCATGGATCCACCCAGAAATCCACCATCTGACCATTACCAATATTCTACTGTACATTGCCTTTCAAGTGAAATAAGCCAAGTAAAATCCTCTTCCGTGCATGAGAACATCTTCTTCTTTCTTCAGCCTCTCATATAGAGGAATTTCTAAAATATTGAAGTTTTAAGAATCGTGCCAACAACGAGGGTGGATTTTCAAATCCTCTATGTTAACTTCATCATTCCTGCGATGTTGAAATCCGCCATTCTCTTTACCCCATATATATATATATATATGTCCTTCAACTTGAGTGAGACACTGTTTTCCATTTTATAAGATAAACACCTTTTTCTCTGCTTCACTGGCCCATAAGAAGTTCCTCTGTAATCTCTCTATCATCTTACATGTTTTCTTTGGAAGAATGAAAGATAACCAGAAAACCGCTGATGCTCTGAGTACAGACTTAAGCAACTGAAGTCGACCTGCATATGAGAGGCATAAAGGTTGCCATGACCCAATCTTACCGAACCGAACACCTTACCCACCAGACTATGGCAATAATTGTGCCTCAGATGTCTACGAAATAATGGTAAGCCCAAATAGTGGACTGGGAGGACACCTTCAACAAACTTTAACTCCCTCAGAATTCTCTCACGTCCTCCCCGTGGAGCTTCAAGAAAAAAACCTTGCTTTTAGATGAATTCAAAATCTGACCAGTACTCCTTTCAAACTTATAAATAAGTTCACGCATAGCAGTGTCAGAAGAAATGGATGCCTCACAGAAAATAAGCACGTCATCAGCATAAAAAAGATGAGAGACCCTATAGTCACACCCTGAAGAAAACACCCTAGGAACGATGCCTTGCAACATGACACAATCAAGCTGCCTACTAAAGAAATCCATGACCAGCAAATATAGATAAGGAGATAGAGGATCCCCTTGCGTCAAGCCTCTCTACCCTTTAAAATATCCCTTGGGTGAGCCATTCCTCAAAATAGAGAAGGAAGAAGTGGAAATACATAAGCGAACCCAAGAAACAAATAACTCAGGAAAACCTAAAGCATGCATCCTAACCACAATAAAATCCAGGAAACCTTATCATAGGCATTGCTCAAATCGACTTGTAGACACATTTTAGGTC